AACTGGAGTTCCTCGTAAATACTTTTCAAACATAATTTTAGTAATTCCATTATTCCACATGAATTATTTTATATTTTAAATAAGCTTACAAGTATTCCCTTTAGTCACACTTGAAGCAAATGCATAATTTGAAGCAAAGTTTAATTTTTAGGGAAACAAGTATCTGCACAAGTTAAAAACAACAATTGCTCAAAAGACTATTATGAAAGTGTGAAAGGTATTGCTTCAGCAAACAAAGGGTTATAACAGGCCGCGTCCGTGACATTGCATATAAATAATAATTGTAAGAAAGCCAAATTTTCTAAATATTTAAACGACAGTTTCAGTAGCAAGAGTACTAGTATAATCTATTCTTCTAAATAAGACATTTTGGTAATAAACAGAAGCGAACTTCCTTGACGTAAGGTTTGAGACATTCTTTCCTTCTTCTCCCTAAATGTTTAAAGTACTTTTTTCGACACACAAAAACTACAACTTATTCTCCTTAATATGGGTATGAAAGCATCGTATTACCTTCCAAGTAAAAATCGTAACAATTTTACGAATTGTTATTCTTATAAGAAGTTTAAAGTAAAATTATTTGTATACATGTCTCTACTGATAATTTTAGTTAAATAAGGCAGCAAAATTTAAATAAATTGTATTTTATTTTATTTTATTTTTTACTTTTTTTGCATTAGATGATGCATGGAGTGTTGCGCAGTTTCAGCCACATTTATTTTTATTTGCACAGAGAATGATGTTATAATGTTAAGGCAGAAAATATTTTATAACTTTGGGCCCATTAAATGAAATTCGGTCAGTTCGAAAACTTGTATAGAATTCATTATAGTCATGTCCTCAACGTATGTAGTTGTATCACAACACGGTTTTACTTTTTTGTCTTCGTTAGTATCAAATTTTTTATACCCGAAAAGTAAGGTTACATGTTTTTGTTAAGAGAGTTGTCCATAAAACAATATGCAATATTATGTATGTGTAAATAGACTATAAATAATCTTAAAAAATTTTTCTAATTACCTATTAATTTAACAAATCTTCTTATTCTACTGACGAGTCAGATTTAAACATAACGTGTTGTACTACAGAAATATTATACTGCAAGAAATTTAAATAATACTTACTTATCAGTGAATAATAAGTTGAATTATTCATAAGTAAAAAAATTATTTCTGGACTGCTTATTATTTAAGACATTGTCTTGGTCTTCCTACACACAAATTACTTAGATTGTAGAATTTTTTATTCAATTTGTGATAACAAATCGACATATGTGATTAATATAAGACACCGAAAAAATTTTAAAATAAAAAGTTTACATTTATCAATTACTTTTACCTCCAGTTGGTATAAATGTTTTGTTTATAGACAATGCCACTTACAATTAAGAATAAAAGAATTTTAAGTATAAATTTATTGTGTTGAAACTTTGACCTTGTGATTTGTTAACTATCATTTAAACTGCTTAAACTAAGAGAAAATACTTTATGTACAATAGTAAAAATAACAATTTCCAATGTTCACAGCTATTTTCGATATGAAATCTACATCTACGTACGTACGTGATATATTTGCAAGGGCGAAGTTTCATTCGGTTTTCTTTAATTTAATTGCAGTTATTAACCATAAAAAATGCTTGCAGGCATGTAGCCCACCTAGAGCTTCTTATTGTTGCCAAATAAAGCCGATAATAATAAACGATAAATGTATTAACAGGTGCTAGGATGATAGGTCGGGAGTACGGAGGACTTTTTTGATGAATAGAGAAAAGAAAATCGCTCTCGTCTCTGGGGGACAGTCGATCGAGTCAGCCCTGCGTACTATAATACTCCTTGGCCAAGGTGGATTGTTCGCGACTCGTGGAGCTGCAAAAAGTGCGGATCATCCCTATCCTGACGAGTTTCTTTACCTATACTATACAGCAGCTTTTCGTCACCCAGAGGGAATTGAGCAATAACACGTCTGATGAGCTTCAGTTTTGGTTACAGATAAGTTGCCTTTCTTGCACGTGTGTCGTCCATCTGTGCCTTTATATATTATCATTATCAATTTAAGTTGCAATGAATTACAATTTCTTGTTATATTCATACTGATCCGGATACCAAATAGCGATGGGTACTAGAACTGTATTGACAATTAAGTTTTACACGTGCATGTAGTTAAAAACTTAGAAAGATTTAATTGAAAAAATTTATTAATACATTCTTATTTTTCATTAATTTTTATCTTCCTCTCAGGCCAATAATTTATTTCAAAATTTTATTAATAATTTAATAGCGCCAGGAATGAAGAATAATGGATTAAAGGGATTTCAGATTTGAGGATAGTTTTGATCGAACTTACTCAACGTATTATATGTTACTCGCACCTATAAAGTTCAAGGTGCTTTTTATTTTCAATAAAAGTATACATTTAACAATAGCACATACACGGTCATTTTTCTCACATCAACTTAAAAAGTTTATGAGCAACAAAGTTCTGACAAAATTATAAGATGAAGGATCATCATTTTCTTAACTGTGTACGGTACATTCACAATAAATTAATGTGTAGGACGTCTATCAACTATCAAGCATCAATGTATAGTAGTGAAAACAAACTACAGTTTCGAAATAGTGTGGATCAATTCTTCTTGAATATTTATCAATTGAGATAAATTTTCAAACTGAGATCAATTTTTAAAAAAGTAGAATTTTTCTTCCTAAATAGCATAATTTACGATGGAAAAAGTCTCAGTGTAGACGTTTGATTGATACGCAATACTCAATATTGCATGGTTACAATATTCAACATAAACAGTGATCACACACGGCTACGACAAAAGGGCAAACAGCAAACAGTTGTATCCGAAAATTGATGTAGACGAATTTTAAATCCATAACGTAGGACAGCTGTGTGGTGGCCATGGCTTACGTGATCAAATTAATCCGCTTACCCGTTGAATGATTGATGACTGACTAAGTATGCCACAGTGATGGACCAGTCAATAATTAATCGCGTTGCAATTACAAACATGGATAATAAGATGCATATAGGATAAGTTGCGGCTGACGTTACATGCACTGCGATAATTAAAGAACTCAAATATAGAAAAGAGGGGGAGAGTGTTAACAGTTGAGATGAGATTTTTACGAATCATAAAATTACAATAAACGTATGTAGCATAATTTATCACATTGATACCGATCAGGACGTAGTGTTAGCTAGTAAATATTTTTGTATCATTACAAGATTTTTTTTTTAAATTCATGATGGCGAGAAAGCTCTAACATGACTATTTTTTGTACCATATTTGCAGTCATACAGTAGTAACTCGTTTAACTGTAACAGTGCCGACAGTGGGGTAAAACAGTGGCTGAAACGTTACACTAACTGGACAGTTCAAAAAAATTTTCTTCAATAATGTGTGGTTTCACACACTTGAAGCAAATGCATAATTTG